CTGGGCTTCTCCTTTGACCTCTGCGGCCCTGAGTGGGATGGACTGGGTGGTCGTGAGTCTCTGCCGTGCATGGACTGTCCCCGCGCCAGGGCACTCAGACGTGGCAGTGATGGTGAAGACATACAGGGCCAGGCACGGGTCCCTTCTCTGGAGCTCGGGTTGCAGTGGGTCGGAACTGACTTGATGGCACCAAGTGACAGCTTCTCCTTTTGTGCGCTGTGCTCTTTTGTTGGTGTGTTGGTTTTTAGAAAGCTGTATAACCAGAGACGATTCTGTTTTCCTTTTCACCTGGCAGACATATGTCGAGTGTGTCGGTCGGAAGGCACCCCGGAGAAACCTCTTTACCATCCCTGTGTGTGCACCGGCAGCATCAAGTTTATCCATCAGGAATGGTGAGTAGCCTTCCTTAGGGAATCCGAGACAAGTCTACCCTTGCAACAGGGAGGAACTGTTGCAGCAACTTTCTGGATAATGATTTCCTTTTTCAAGTTTTGTTGTAAGATTTGGAGAAGAAATTACCCAGCCACGATGCCTAACACACCCCTGTCCTTGTGGCGGGCTGGGCTCCAGGTGCCCTGTGGGGAGCAGAGCAGGGAAGGGGCGGCTGCAGCCATTGCAGGGGCTGGGGTCTGCGGCCGACCCGAGAGCAGCTTGGACTTGGGAGACACATGGTGCCAGAAACTGTAGTCACTGCTGTTAACATAGCCACACTCCTTTAATCCTCCCAAGAAGACTGTGGGGGAGGGGACCTGGGAACACGGAAGAGTTGGTTCTGGTGGCACAGCCCGCCAGCTTGGGCTGTCGCTGGTGCTGGGGTCCCTCCAGGCAGCTTTGAGGAGATGCTGGGATTCCCTGAACCCTGTCCCGGAACACATACGGGGCCTTCAACACTTGTCATTTTCTACTCCCGAAGGCATCACTTACAACACATTAGGAAGAAGACTAGGTTTGAAATTTCACAGTGGTAAGACATGTGAAGTCTAGATGTGTGAACTTTCTGTGAAGATACACAAGCCGTTTTCTGCGGACCCTTGGTGTTTGATTATTGTGAACAGGTACTTACACAATTGTTTTTGTCGTTACAGCTTAGTTCAGTGGCTGAAACACAGTCGAAAGGAATACTGTGAATTATGCAAGCACAGATTTGCCTTCACGCCCAGTAAGTTCTTTAGAAATGTTCCCCGTGGGTTCTGGG